TGTTTGAAATACGCTGTTATTATTTTGATTGGATGTAAATGTGAAGATTATATGATCCTAGTTATCCCTGTTAGAAAAATACACAACAAAAAGAAAATATCTGGGCAGAAGCAACACATATGCTGGATGCTGGTGGGGATTTTTTTAATATCATATTGAATTAAGCGTTAATTTCCACATGTTTTGATCCTATAAATTTTATAATAATTTAGCGCATGCTCTCCGAGGAAGTCTGAGTGGAGCAAGATGGGAGGAACAGCAGAGGCTGGTCTGGAGGGCAGCGGGGCGGTGACAGAGGGTGTGGGGTTTAAGGGTAACGCAGTGTAGCTGCGTCCAGCCGGCTGTGATAATGAACTTCCTCGTCTGTTTTAAAACTGATGCACTCTGTTCCTCATCTATACGTTAACAGCTGTTTCTGTGCGCTGCATGCTCACACGCTCTTTCTACTATAATAAAAGTCTACATGCAACATTTTCACCTTCATTCATAAAACTGTAAAATCGGGGACATTTCCTGGACAGCTTTAGCCAGGGACAGGTAGTCCGGAACTGGGACTGTCCCTGGAAAGCGGCATCTGGTCACTCGATGCTTGGATGGAGTTAGCGCTACAGAAACTAGCATCGCTACGTAAATAACTTGGCATTGTCTGAATAATGTTTTATAAGAACTAAACAGCTGACAGTATTTTTACTGTATTGTTTTTTTTTACATTAATAATTAATATTTTTTCAAATAAAGTCTGTTGTTACAACTAATCATGAATCCCTTTAATAGATGTGTCTTTACTTTGTCAATGAAAACAGATAAAAAAAAAAACCTCAAAAGGTCTAAAAGCTCTAAAACGTTGTGACTCTTCCAGTGCAGGTTTTACTGCCCATTATCAAAAAATGTTAGAAAAAAGTCACTAAATGTGAAAAACGCTCGCTAAATTATATAAATGATCCACAATAAACAGAAAGGTTCACAAGCAAGTCGTACTGGCTATAATCTCAGATTTTGTATTAAAAAGCTTCTATGTTTAAACTCAGGGTTCAGTAATTCAGTTATCTTAACAGTTCATCAATCATGATTATCCTCCCATCATCTTTAGCATCTTTTCTTGTTAAAAATTAATCTTCAGTTGCTTATAAAAAAAACTTTTTTTCTAGTCTGCACGTTTTTGAACATTGCTTTTTTGCCTATTGTTCCCACAGTCTTGAATTTGTTGCATTTATAAACTCAAACGTATATGACTTTGTGATGAACTGTCCAGGGTGTACCCCGCCTCTCACACGCAGACAGCTGGAAATAGACACCAGCACCCCTCATGACTCCACTCAGGATAAACAGAAAATGGATGGACGTTTTTTTTTAATTAGAAAATGACAAAATGATTCCTTTCAAATATACGCTCCATCATTTCAGTTAGGCATCCATCCGATTAGTCCTTGTTAGGGCGAGAGGCGGGGTCCACCCTGGACAGGTCGCCAGTCTGTCACAGGACAACACAGAGACAAACACCTGAGGAGAATTTAGAGAAGCCAATGAACATAACAGTTATGTTTTTGGACTGTGGGAGGAAGCCGGAGTACCTGGAGAGAACCCATGCATGCTCAGGGAGAACATGCAAACTCCATGCAGAAAGACTGGGAATCAAACCCAGAGCTACCCACTGCCCCACCATGCAGCCCTCAGTTACACATTCAAAGTAAATAAATCGACTGTAATGTAGCTTCACATTCATAATCTTTGAAATCCGAAACTAAACAATAAAGCTTTATATATCGATGATGTTCCACCAAACTGTGTAACTCATCCTGTATTGTGACTCAAAGGGATGCAGTCTGCTTCCTATTAACCCTTACTTCACTTTTACCTGAACCATGTAGCGTCCTCCCGAGTCACAATATGTGATGGGTCACAGGTTACACTGTAACACCAGCATATGGAGCATTGGGGTACTGTATGAGTCTGCATAAAGATCTTTCATCTTTATGCAGCAATGTTTTCACATAAAATCATTCTAAAAGTTCATTTTATGTCCAAGAAATATATTTTATAAAATTTTACTCACTTTTTTACACTTTTAGCTATTATTGCTCTAAGTTCTGCAAGGAATCGATAGGGCGCCATAAATACCAATGCAATACTGCCCTCTGCAGGAGCCTTGGTGAACTGCATGGAATTTAAACTGAACCACTGAGAATAAAATATATGCAGAGATGCTTATAGTTACTTAAGATATGCTTCCCTTCTGTTATTTTGATTTTCTTCATAATCGACTACATTGACTACTCATTTCAGCCCTTCTCTTTTTTCGTTTTTTTATCTTTTGAAGCTCATCTTACAAAAGCGTACATCCTGGTTAAAACCCAGCTGAGGGAAATGTGAACACATGGAGTATTTGAGTTTGTTTTTGTTCTGATTTCAGCTGTGGGGACAGAAGTCCTTTGCGGGATGTCTTCGACGTGCTGCGCCCTGCAGGGCTGGCTGTGGTGGCAGAGGAAGATATTAACACTACGGACCAAAACGGGAAGCTTGAATGGTCTAACGGAGACGTGACGCTGATTTTCAGTGAGGAGGCAGGAACTCAAATAATCCAGCACCAGGACTCTGTGACAGACTATTGCTCCCTATCATCTACCAGCTCTCTGGAACCACCAGAGTCAAACACCCTGAGCACCACAGACTGCAGCTCATTGAAAAGTAGAGGCTGTTTACCTCTGCCTCAAAACCCGGAGGACTCAGAAGAGCATCAGGACGAACAGACAGATACAGATAATCTGGACTCAGCAGAGGACATAAACCCTGCAACACCTGAGCTGCAAGCCTTCAATCTGCTGCCGGTGAACGGGACCCTGTGGATCCCCAGGTAAGAAAAACACTCTGAAAGGCCTGTAATGGCAGCTAAATGTGGGCTTAAACAAGTAAAACAATGTTAGAGATTGAACTAACAGATTCTGCAGAGTGGGAGAATAGAGATAGAATGAAGCAGAATTATGAAATATTGGTCCCTATGTCCTCCAGCAGTCTAAACCTATAGCAGCATAACTATAGAGATAGTTCAGGATAACCTGAGCCACTCTAACTATAAGCTTTATAAAAAAGGAAAGTTTTAAGCCTAGTCTTAAAAATAGACATTTAACATTCTTAAAATCAATGTATTTTCCTTTAATTCCAGCAGTAAAATAAGATCATTAGATCTCATTCTAAATTTTATTAGATTATGAACTTGTTTTTTAAAACATAAATAATCATATTCCATTGATAACTTCTCCTACTTACCTGCTATATCAAGAATAATACACTTATTTACAAAAAATGACATACCGGAATATATACTCATCTTTAAAATAGCTTTACACGGAAATGTCAGTTAGGCTTCATTCACACTGCAGATGAATGTGATCCAAATCAGATTTTCTATTTTTATTTTGGCCCTGAAACAAATAGACAAACTTTTTTTAAACAAATTGTGATTGTCATTGTGATGTCATCGCTGAGGTATATGGAGACTAAAAAGATATCCTGAATTACATAGATGGGAATGTCCCAATAAATATGTATCATGAAATAAAATAATGTAACATTTTTTAATTCCTGAAAAACCTGATTTAAATAATAAACATACCATGAAATTAGAAGATGGACAATTAAATAATAAAAAAAATATATTAAATACTTTAAGTATCTTTTATCTGGTTTGAGATTAAGTACTTCTTTGTTTTTGTTTTGTTTTTTAAATTATTATTATAAAGCACTTTTTAACCCATTGCCTGTCCCCTTTGTGGTGCCTCCACTTTCTCAGCCTCAAACTCGGCTTAGGATGGCAGGTTAGACCCTTGCATGGCTGAAAGAACAGCAGCTGATTTAATTGATGCTTTTCAAGGTGTTTCGAATTCCTGATTGTTTTGGTTTTGCTGATGAATTAAAGGCTTTATTACAATACAGCATCAACAGGAATATGGTTGTGCTCATAAACCAACAGAAGTTGAATGATACTACAAATAATCTTGTCTTCGGCTGAAATGATTCATTATCAAACTTGAAGTTTGACTCAGAAGAACTAAACTAATAGATGTTTAGACTGAAGCCGAGTGAGGAGAACGTTTCTATCACCTACTCTGCATTTATATGATGCTGTCTCACAGTGAGATTAGCAGCAGAGCGAACATCAATGAAGCATAAAATCCCAGCATTCAGTTGTTTTTTTTCACTAACCCTGACTATGTGTGTCCAACAGGCATGGAGGTGATATAATAATCATTGAAATGCAGCCATATGGAGGTCAGCTGCGGGGGCGGGTCACCGCTGTCCTCGCTCCTCCTGGACGCTCCTCTCTGGGGTAAGTTAGGCTCCATCGTTTCATTCTGCCTTCATTCAGCAGCACAGTTTTCATCCCATTTGAAGGAACTTCATTTGATTTTATTGGTTTGTTTCTATAGAAACAGCTGTTAAGAAACATTTTAAATCTTTAGCTAATTTAATGTTTTTACTGATGGTAGCGACCTGCTCATGGCACCATTTCAGTTACTGGAGCTTTTTAGCAGGAATCAGGGTCTGTTTGTCAGAGCTGTGGTAGGTCCTCCAGTAATCCGGAGCTGATTACTTTTTAAACATTTAGGAAATAAATACCAGGTACCATAAATGTAATAGCATCAAAATCTTAACTATATTTTATAATTTGAACTCTACTTTTGATTCTCCTACTGCCTGAAGATGTTTTCTGATGTTCTCATCTCCTCCTACAGGGTCTGGTTCTCTGTAAGGTTACGTTAGTTTTTTATAACAACCTTTCCAGCTTCAAAGCTTCAATCATTTAAACTGTTTCTGCAGTGAAGCAGTGAGTACTAGCCAATTAGAATCAGAGTAGCGCGTGTGATGGCTTCACTGTCCTAGGAAAAAATGGGAAACTTGGCTCTGAGATTCTGCTCAATAGTGCGGATCATGGGGGATTTAGAAGTGGGTGTTCGCAATGCCAATTGAAAAATAAGTGGCTATACACCATATACCCGTGTATATCCTGGATTACACAACTCCATTCCTTTTCTTTAGGAGGATTTTGCCTCACATTCAGTAAACTCTGCCTGATGGATTTTGAAGCTGCTGGAAAACAAACGAGATGTTCAACCATCTTCTTGCTGACTTCTTTGAATACGTTTCTCTCCTGTGTTTCCCTTTGTCATCTCCTGTTTTCCCGTCCCCCCAGGACTCTGCAGGAGGCAGCGCTGGTGGCGAAGGACACGGTGGTATGCGGCTTCCAGCAGGAGGAAAACATGGAGTGGTGCCTGGTTGTCTGGAGAGCCTGGAGCAGCAGCGAGATCAGCGTCTTCTACCAGTCCTACGAGGAACTCTACCGCTCTGAGAGCAACATAAGGATAAGAAGGTAGCTGCTGTCCTGCAGCGGCTCAGGACCAGAACCTCCCTGACTGAGTTCAGAGATCTGAGGCTGAGGGGCGTCAACCGATGAAGCTCAGCTGTCAGGCTTCGCACTGCCGGAGGAGATATTTCAGTTCACTGTACAGAAAGAAGCGGATTATCAGCGTCCGAATCAGACTTTTAATCACAATCACCAAAGTTTTTTCTCTTTGCTTCCAAACATCCAAATAAATCGATATTTAACTTTCTTTAAAGGTTATTTATCTGCCTTTTTAAACCTTCCAAGGTCAACTGCAACTGTGTTGGATAAAGCATCACCTCAGGCACCAGCAGTGTTCAGTGGTTCATAAATATCAGGTCCAGCCCAGAGAAAAGACGCTGCTCTTTACTGCTTCGCCTGTTTGGTGACGTCGTCCATAAAACAGGACGTCAAACTCATTTTTATATCAGACCACTGCAAAATCATCAAGTCTTTTACTGAATCAGCTGCAGCTGTAGAAATAAAACGTTTGGATCTGTTGTCTAATTTACAAAGTGTCCACTGTTCTGGTATTATGGATCTAGTCCCATTTATTCATCAGTTGTAGCCACTTTGCTCACTTTATATCAACACATATCTGCTTTGTGCCTTTTTCTGTTCGGGGGAAAATAAACTGGAGGCTTTAAGTTCGACTCTGCACCCTTAACTCGCTGCCGCATGAGATCACAACACCTCTGGTTTAAAGCTTCCCTCTCTTACAAAACGATGAACACTTTAAGCCTGGTTTATGCTCAGAAACAAGGTCGTCTGCGTGTATCGAAGTTAACGCAGATATGCCCCGCCCCTTCTGCAGACACTCTGCTGCAGCTCCCCAAAACTGTAGGTGACCGCAGACAGGAGGCATCTGATTGGTCAAATCTACACCCGCTCTACACTATGAGTATTTCCTGTTTGGTACCTTACCAGCTTGTTTTGTTTGTCTGACAGACATCTTCTAGCTGGTCCATATTCACGACACACTCGTGAATATGGACCAGCTAGAAGAGCGAGGTGCGCAAGAAGGACCATTTTTCCACATGGATCCACGCTCTTTTTCGCCCTCATGTCCCTCCGTTGTCGCACAAACTTGCCCCCACTTCCTGGGCCGTATCTAGACCCACAGCTAGTTCCTGATTATCCCTCTTGCGCCGCGGCGTGGAATAACAGCTCAGACCACGCTTTAGAATTCGGTATAAATCAAAAATATCTGCGACAAGTCTCACTGTGACACCCTGCTGCGGGAGGATAACCAGCCCTTTAGATGTTAGCTAATAAAGAACAGCCGCTATCAGCTGCAGAGCTGCTGTTTGGTCTCATCCTCAGCAGAAATCTTTGCACTCTGCCTCACATCACCTCTGCTGATCAGAGGAAGTGGGTGTGTTGTTACTGAGCAGGCGCAGCGCGGTCATGGTAGGTGCTTCCTGGAGGAGTAATCGCTGCTCTGTGTAGGATGGGGATGACAACTGGTTTTTCCAGGAAAGATAGTTGCCTAAAAATGAAAGGATTGAAGTTAGAAGTTGTCCAAAAATATAACTGCCACAGTAAAGTATAGACTTCTGCTTAGGTAAGGTAAAAAGTATTTGTACTTAGTTACTTGACATCTGTGTTGGTAGGATACGTCTTCCTCTCCTGCTCCTCTTTGTTCCTTTTGGAAGATATTTCTACAGGCCCTAAAGGAAAAGTCCGATCAGCAATGAATAATCAATGGATCATCATTTATACCTAAAGCTAATACGTTGGCTGTGATTTAATTAATTTAGCGTTAATCAGTAAAATGATTAAAATAATTATTTTCATCGCGATCATTCAGTCTGGGAGCGGCCATTTTTGCCCAAATATAGTAACCCCTCCCTC